TCTCCCTCCTCCTGGCAGACAAGTGCTCCACCAGGGAAGGTATGAGAGACTCCAGCCATTGACAGGTTGGGTACAGCCCCCCCTTTCCCCTATTCTCTTTTTTTTTGTTACTGAAACCATCCATCTGCCAAATGTCACTAGCTGATAAGAACTGCCCGTTTTTAAATCCCCTTCTGTAAATAGATGTTGGCTGACATAATTAATGTCTACCATACAACACAATTTGAATTACAAAGTAAAGGCAATTTAAAAATCAGCCTCCACATGATTACAATTGATACTGAGTCTATAAATTCCATAGCCTGAGGAATTATTTAAATTTCTGAAAACGAATGAAAATCAGTACAAGATGTCTTTCAGGAAAGCGAGACCAGAAGTGGAGCATCTGAGATAAACTAAACAGTCTCTTGAGATAAACATTCTTTGGTGCAGTAATACCTACGGCTCCTGGGCCACCACGGCTCTGCAGTGTCTGCCGAGCTCCCAGGGCCCTTATCTGCTCTGCCACCGCCACCTACTCCGAATAAATCCCCTTAACTGATAAGCACATTAGGCTGAGGAGCCCTGCTTGTCACTCCCATCTCGCTGGGTGGTTTGGATGAACTCCGTGGCACCGCATTGCTCCGCTCCCGACACCGACCCCGCTCGCCGGCCGCGATCCACCTTCAGCTGGTGGAAGAACTGCAAAAGTTCTGGTGCTCCCAACATAAAATGGGACTGTTGGAGCAAGTCCAGAGGAGGCCACAAAGTTGTTAAGGGGGCTGGAGCACCTGCCCTATGGAGACAGGCTGGGAGAGATGGGGATGTTCAGCCCGGAGAAGACAAAGTTCTGTGGAGACCTCACAGTGCATTTCAGAATCTGCAGGGGCTACAGAAAAGGTGGAGAGGGACTGATCATCAGGAACAGGAATGACAGGACAAGGAGTAATGGGTTCAAACTGAGAGAGGGGAATTTAGATTAGATATACAAAAGAAATTTTTCCCTGTGAGGGTGGGGAGGCCCTGGCACAGATTGTCCAGAGAAGCTGTGGCTGCCCCATCCCTGGAAGTGTCCAAGGCCAGGTTGGATGAGACTTGCAGCAACCTGGGCTAGTGGAAGGTGTCCCTGCTCATGGCAGGGGGTGGAATGAGATCATCTTTTAGGTCCCTTCCAACCCAAACTGTTTTATGATTCTGTGAAAACGTATAAGGCAAAATATGGGTGGTGGCACTTGGAGACATTCACCCCAAATTCACTTTTCCTGATAACTAGAAATAACAAGTTTAAATGGACAACAAACATCTCTAACAAGGAAGCTGCAGCATAAGTCTGGGGAGGAAGACCAGCAACACAAGAAGTAATTTAAAGCATGTATACATTGTGCCTCTTGCACAGCAAAATAACCAGCTCTGTTCCTTCCTGTGATCCCTGTGCACAGGCTCAGCAGCATCGTGGCACAGCCAGGAGCTCTCCTGAGCGTGGATCCCATCAGGAGAAGGATCCAGCACAGGACACGCTGCCAAGTTTTACCTCTCTTCCTCTCTCTATGCTATCACTTAAAGTTTTAAGTGAATTTCATTATTTTCCTGCTAGTCCTTCCCTTGTAAAATAATTTGAGGGTTTCTCGATTTACTAGAAAAACAAATCTCTTCAGAAACAAATAGGGCCACGAAGGAGCAGTGAAATCTGCTTTCAAGGAAGCAAACGTGTTACTGCAAATCACAGGCTGGCAGTTAAGCTGTGCATAAATACCCCAGATCCGTGGCAGTGATATCCATGTGATAAATTACATTTATCACGCACCTCTGACCGTCTCACCTGCACTCGCTCCCCCAGCGAGGAAATGTTAACATTCCTGATCTTTCATCAGTCTCAAACAGCTGCCATTAAAAAAAAACACAACCCCCCCCAAACCCACAACAAAGAATTCCACATCTTCCCAGAGATAACCTTATCTTTCGCGTTTGAAATGGGAGGTTTTCCCTAAGTCACTTTGGCGCAAAATCTAGGGTTGGGGGTGAGATGTTCCATCAGGCTTGAGAGCATATAATTAAAGTTCCCTATCAGGGGAAGAAGTAGAAGTAAGAATTCTTGGGAATCATCATGAGATCTGACAAAGATTATAGTGTAAGAAATGACTCAGAGGGTGGGGAGGCCCTGGCACAGGTTGCCCAGAGAAGCTGTGGCTGCCCCTGGATCCCTGGAAGTGTCCAAGGCCAGGTTGGACAAGGCTTGGAACAAGCTGGAAGAGTGGAAGGTGTCCCTGCCCATGGCAGGGGGTTGTAACTGGGTGATCTTTAAGGTGCCTTCCAACCCAAACCATTCTATGATTGCATGGTGATTCTCTAAATTACAGCATTTGCATCACTGCAAACATGAGGGTCCCACATTTTTATCCGTGATATTTGTTTCTCGTGCAACAAACTGCCAAGGTATTAATCTTTGAAACGAGAAAATTATAAATCAAATGAGGACAAATTGAAACAAGGCTGTTCCAGTCTGAGATACTTCGTTGTTCCCTCTGTTAGCTCTCCCAAAGGACACGAGGATCTCGCAGCAGCACCACGTTGTGGAGCTCCTGGAGGGAGCAGGCACAGCTGTCCAAGGGCACCACACAACGGTGCCACACTTGGCTCCCCCCTCGGAGGGTAATGAAAGGGCTACACTTAAATATTGTTTTCGCTACAACCAGCAGCATGTACAACAATGTGGCTGCTGTGAGAAGATTACAAGGAGAGAAAATCCACAGGAAAATGTAAACCCAAAAAACCACCAGTTAAGTGGTGAGAACCTTCCTTCTCATTAGTTTCCTGCCTCCCTTCCTTCACATTCCTCTTTGTTATCCAGTGAAATGATCTTTTTTTTTTTTTTTTCTTTTTTAAACGAGGTGCAAATGCATTTTCACACCTCTACCTAAAACTAGGTTAAGTCTCCACACTAATTACACATTATTAATGAGTTCAGCAACTGTGGGCAGGCTGGCTGGGGAAGGGACTCAGGTCTGCACGTTGTGTATGGATGCACATGGATACACCCCTGTACCCTGCATGGATTTGATGCTGCCAGGCACAGGAATAGAATGTTTAACACTGAAAATCATGGTCTACATTGCCATCCTTTTCTTACATTTACCTCTTTTCTCCTTAGAGGTGTTTGTGGTTTTTTTTTTTGTTTGGGGTTCTTTGTTTCTTTGTTTGGGGTTGGGGTATTTCTTCCATTTCTTTTAATACTGAAATGCACTAAAATATTACATTTCAGTCCCTGTTTTCTGGACTCTGCCCAGATGTGCTTCATTGCAAAGACCAGTATTACCTCAATAACATTTCTTTCTCTATCAAACAACCTGCCTGGCCTCCCTGACACAGTCTGGGAGGTGACTGCAGGAAGTTTTAGGTACCCAGAACACACTGGCTACACACCAGCACAGATTAACATGTTCTGGAAAAGTCTGCTTGGGTGGTTTAAAGTGATCATCTTCCACTGATGGAATCACTGCCAGAGATCATCCCCTCCCCAGCAGAGTTGGCACAGGGACACATAACCACATTTAGTTGTAAATTAGAGAGGCAGAGCTCACTTGGGACACCAGTGGTGCTCCCTGCTGCCCTACAGGGACAGCTTAGCTCTCTGTGAAACAGGTCTCAAAGAGTGAGTTGGAACGTGACAAATTAAAGATAATGACAATCAGGGCCAGTTTAACGTGCTGGGCTTTCACTGCAGCCTCTACAGCAAGAGCTTTTGGTGAGATGCAGCTCTGCACTCCAGCTCCTCCAGCCTGGACTTTGCAGGTGAAGCACAGGCACGTGAAAGTCATCCTTGGACATCAACTCTGCAGGGTGGTGCCAAAACCAACACAGAAATCCCTCAACAGCGTTAGATCCAAGGTCTAAACATCTGCTGCCAGAATGATAAAGGTCTTAAAATTATATGTTTTGTGTTTTCAATTAATTCTATAGAAAGACAGTTGGAAAAGATCTTTAAGATCATCAAGTCCAACCAAAGTAGAAGTAGCACATGTGTTGGAAAAAAGCCCCACACCATCTTTCACCCTAGATCTGGGTTAGATCTGTATGGGAACACGTGGACACAAAGCCAACTCAGACTGACTTTTATTAGGAAGTGCCTAAAGAACAGATTTTGCACAAATTCTGATAATTTCTGGTTAAAAGCCTTGCTGTTGAAAGTATTATTCAAGCCTTAAATATGCCCCAGTGTGGGACGAGTGTGTGCTAAAGCAATTCTTAACAGACCTATTAATTGTACTTCATTAGTTTCTCCAGACTATAAGTTTGTGGAGCCACTTTGATTCTTAAGTTTCTAGCTGGCAGGAAAAACAAGCCCTGATTGTGTCAGAGTTGAGCTGCTGAAGAGATCAGTGTTTTACAAGGGATGTAAAAATGGTTCACAGTTACTAAAATAGAAATCTTCGTTTGCTTTTCAAGGAGGAGGGAAGGAACATTTATAACTTAAGAGTTTAGCAATGGGCAATTAAGAAATACACCAATAAATTAATCTTCCCAGGACATTTTCTGGCTTGTAGAAAGACAGTATTTAATAAACACATCTGGGAATTTTCCAGCTGAAAGTTCCTTGTAAGTTGGATCTTACTGGATACGGTTTTAATCCTGAAATTATGTAACATTTTCTTCCATGTGAACACATAAGATGCTATTTTCCTTCTAGATATTTTTAAGATGGTCTAAACACACATCCAACAGGACATGCTGCTTTATCAGCTCAGGCTTGCCCTCATAAGGAGAATGTTACCAGAATTTATCTGCTTCTGGAGCACTATCACAGGATCATGGAATGGTTTGGGTTGAAGGGACCTTAAAGCTCATCACATTCCACCCTCTGCCATGGGCAGGGACATCTTCCACTAGCCCAGGCTGCTCCAAGCCCTGTCCAACCTGGCCTGGTCAGGTGAACAAGCATAAAGCACAAAGTTTACTGCCTTTTGAGTAGGTTTTTTTAGTTATCCTGACAACCCCTCCCCCTGATGGAAGGGATTCCTACTCACCAGCATCCAGACTCCCGGTAGCCGCGGTCCAGCCCATGACGGGGGGAATGGCCCCGACCACAGCTCCCACCCACGTGTTGGCAATGCTCATCCTCTTCATGGGGGTGTAACAGCACGTGTAGAGGAAGATGTTGAAGGCTCCCAGGGCCCCGGTGAGAGGGTTCACTCCCAGAGTCAGCAGGGCAATGCCTGGGACTCCGCAGGAGGCGGCGAAGCAGACGGCGAGCAGGGGGCTGTGGGGAGAGGGATGGAGACACAGGCTGAGCAAGAGCTGCTCTTAGAGAATGACTGCTGTCCCGCTCCTTTTGCCTCCTCCCTAAAATTAAGATTGATTTTTTCGTTAATTTTTTCCTCACCCAGCCCAAGTTTTCCCATTTGAACCCCCAAGAAGAAAAGCCTTTCTAAAAAGTTAAGCCAGTCGTCCCACAGCTCTGCAATGGAAACGATTCTTCATCTTGTGATCACCATGTTCACCAAATAAAATCTAAGCTCTGCAGGTATTTAGCCCTTATGGAGAACTGCTGCTTCCAGCATATCTTCCTCCTTCACTTTAATTTTAGTGAATTTTAAGCTCTGGAAAAAGCACTCGGGTTTGGAGTGAATGAAAAGGGTTGGAGCTTGTCAGATTTTTAACTGATTGCAGCTATCCAAGGGATCCTTCGAAATGCAACAGGGTTAGACACAAAATTAGGAAGCATTTATGAGAAAAAGAGTACATTCAATCATTGCAAAATTACATCAACAGGAATAAAGTATTTTTTGGCTTTACTGCAAAAAGAGGCTGAATGTTCCACACTCCCATTTAGCTGATGCACTGAGCTGAGCAGGGGGAGCACCCCAAAGCAATGCTGGCAACAGAATCAAAACTGATTATCTTCTAAGTAGGACTGGAATTAACCGAAGATATTTTAGGTTTGGCCAAAAGCAGCAAACCACAGAGATGCAAATTATTTCTGTGGATTTGTACTGCACATCAGCTGAGAGCTCTGGGAAGGTTGGAAACTCCTGTTAAAATCTGACAGAAAGAGGCTGGAGCTATGTAAACTTCTGCTAATAAATTCCACAATAAACATCCAAATAGGAAGAACAAGGATTTTTTGTTTGGCTACCAAACCCACACTACACAGAGAACACCATGACACAACCCTAAGGAAGCTTTAGTTGTGACCCTTGTGCCAGATCTGCTGGTGGGGATCTCCTCACATGTGCTTGCTTGAGGTGGTTGGTATGATGGGAAGAGAGAACTAAAAGCCTCTAAGAAATAATGTGGTGTGGGGGACCTCTGGAAGGGAGGAAAATGCCATTAAATGAGTTGCATTTAATAACCCATGTGGATAAATACACACTTGTAATCCACGTAGGAGCAGAAAATATGTGTGTTTGCAACAAAGGTCTCTGCATGAAGTTCAGCTTTACACCTCTTGTCTAATTGAAAACCATGCAGCCTTTGTGTTCTACAATCACTCTGCCCTCTGGCCAAATCCTTAACCCTAAAATACATGTTGCAAGCGCTGCTCTAGCCCTCATAACAAAAAATTTGCTGGTGGGGATGAATTTTATGGGAGTTTCATCAGCGAAAAATCCTACCATTCAAATTTTGATATTTAAGACCTTTGTTGGGCCAGCGTGGTACAGAGATCCTAAATACCTGGAAGAACTATAATGAGCAAACGTCACGCTGAAGATCTGCCTTTAGTTTGAATTAAATCGACATTTTATGCAACTTTTCAAAACCATCACCAGATTTTAGGTAACAAAGCACGCACAGGGCACGTTTCCACTCGGAGTTACTAAAACATCAGGGTAGAAGGAGGGTGTGTCATTGCCATCCATTGACAGGGAGATGTGTAAAATTTGAGGCTTTTTTCAGGGAAGGAGCCACAGGGAGCTGTGCCCTCTGGTTCTGCAGCTCGTGGAGCTCTTTTGCAGTGAGGCAGCAAAGCACAATCTGTGCCACAAATGCCCCAACGCCGGCTACAAACACTACAAACACTGCAGCGCTCCGTAGATGTTGCCCCTCTGTAGTGAAAGCCTGACTGGGCTTGGTTAAACAAATCCATCTTGACTGATTCCTGAATAAAATACAGTCAGACAGTAAACACCAGATTCACACAATACACTCTCCAGGCGACAAAAGACCAGCGTGACCCTCCGGGGCCGGGCTGCCCACGTCCAAACGAGGGCACAGTTTGATCTAATGCAATGAGCACTTCTCTCACTAATCAACACTGAAGACTTATCTACATGTCTCCAGTTCAAAGGAACACTGCACACCACGAGCAGGCACCAGCCCTTCATTTCTCCTACGGGATGGGAAGGTGAAGGCTGGGAGAGCAAAGCCAGAGCTTTGCCTCTCTCCCACGTCACTTCCCTGCAGCACCGACTGCCCTGTGGTGCAGCCCTGATCCCAGATGTCTGCTACATCCATGTCCAACCAATGGATCAGAAGAAAACCTTTAAAAAATAAGGCTTTCTCAAAGGGAAGGGTGAAGTTATGTGGCCGAGACCTTCAAAAAAGTTGCTTTGTTCCTGGCAGATGAAAACACATTTTTGCTTCTCAGTTTCTTCCTTTTTGCCTCTTCAGGGGAAGCTCCTGGAGGCACAGCACGTAATCACAGAATCACAGAATGGTTTGGGTTGGAAGGAACCTTAAAACTCATCTCAGTCCACCTCCCTCCCACAGGCAGGGACACCTTCCACTAGCCCAGGTTGCTCCAAGCCCCGTCCAACCTGGCCTTGGACACTTGCAGGGATGGGGCAGCCACAGCTTCTCTGGGCAACCTGAGGCAGTTACTGCCTGTGACAGTCCTAATGCTCCCACAGGAGGACATCAAGTCATTAGGGTTGTTCCTCATAAGCAGTTGAACTATTTTACTTTTAGACACCCTGAAAGCATCATATTTTCTCATTTTCTCCAGTGTTACCTTAACAAAGAAGAGTAATTGTCTGACTTCCAAGGGCCCTGTCCCTAAAACTCCAGCTGAGATTAGAAAGTCAAACTGTGACCTGATGATTCAGCTTGGTTAGTTCTGCCCCTTAAAATAGTATTTGGCAGTGCAAAGACCCTGCAACCAGAAATTAGGAGTTTGCTTTTATGGTGAAACATGAGGCAGAGGAGAATTCAAATCACTCTCATGTAAATAGATCATGTTTATAAGGCCTAGGAGAAATATAAGCAACTCCTCACTGGGAATGAGAGAACATTCAAGGAAAATATAGTGAGATTTCAGTCCCTGGTGCTGCTCTTTCTCCTTCAGTAACTCCTAGGATTTTAAGAAGACAAGAATGAGCCTAGGTTTAAATCCCAGCAGTTCAAAGGGTATTCTTATTTCTGGCTGATGTCTCCTAGGGACCATTCTGCATCTCCATGCTCACATTAGGCCTGTCAATACTCAGGTATGTGGGGTGAGACTCACTGATTTGATGAATGCCCATTGCTGGGCTGCCCACATCTCACTGAGGGACCACAGGAGCCCAGGATCTCATTCTGGAGCAGGAGAAAGGCCTGTGATGCTGAGCTGTCACTGGGTTTGGCCCATCACCTGATGTCCACACAGCTCCTCGTGCCACCACCCAGCCCAGGGTGCACCACGGGAGCCTTGGGCAACCAGTGCCAGGGAATTCTCACGTGGTGGTCACAAGTGGCTGAGGGGTCTCTGCTGGTTTCCCTCATGCCCAAACCATCCCAGGCAGTGAGTGCAGGCTGGTGGCAGATGCTGGTCCACACGCCCCATTTCACTTGGGCGTTCACTTATGCCGAGGGAATCGCTCCCATGGGAAAAAAAGGCAATCTTCCATTGGAAAGTTGGCCAAGGAGCTAGCTCAGAAAGCAAACAGCTTGAGTAAGAAACTAGGTTTTATGATGGATTCTTGGGAGGAGTTGGTTTCAGTTATTTGGCTGATTAAAATCAGACTTTGGAAAAATACTGCAAGTGCCAAACGAGTTCTCTTCAAATTTCAGCTCTAAAATACCCAGTATGTCACCACACAGGGCACCTCCTAAAGGAAAACCCAAACCTGGTGCTTCTGCCTCATTCTTCTTCTCTGCTGGGAATGAAAACGCCAAAATCTGCCTAATAACAGTGCTGAAAGACATCCACCTCCAACTAAAAGCTTTTGAGAACTTCACCTTGACCTGTCAATAATCAAACCTTTCCTGATCCAAAGAAAACACGTCATTTCTCTCCCAAAGAGATCACCCAGGACAGACCTTCCCCAGTCACACTCCACTGAGAGCATCCAAGAGGAGGAGCAGGAGGAAGAGGTTCAGGTTTCTCCTCATTCAACTCAAAACTTCTGGTGACACAGAGGGGTCTGGAGAGATGCTGTTGGTCAGGGACATCCCAGAGCTGTGGGAGGGAACGGGAGCAGGCAGGAGGAATTCCATGGGGGGGCTATTCAGGTATCCCCTGCACACATGACCACGGGGCACCCACGTGGACCCTCATCCAGAGGCGTGGGGAGACTTTGGGAAACGCAGCAGCCTATTTTATTCATGTGCAATAAAATAATCTCCAAACTAGTTGCCACTTACAGATGTTCTGGCCATACGTAAATAACGATCCTACACACATGTGCAGGAAATATATTTATTTAATAGGCTCCAGAGCCATGGATAATGGTACTTATTGACTCACAGCCTTACTTGGAAAAATCGAGAGGGGGAAAACAAATTAAAGCATTTGCCCATCTATAAAATTAATGTACTATTTTACCTATTTCACAGCAGCATTAGCAAGCTTAATGTCTCTAAGGATCAATAGTGGCACTACTACACAGGCTTTTCTGTGCTGTCTTTGGCAAAACACTTTGTGAAGATGACTGGCAAGGCAGAGTTTGAACTACAATTTAAAAAGCAGTGTTAAAAAGGGGGAATAAGTTTTAAAAAAACTTTTTTTTTTTTTTTTGGAAAAACAACCAAAGAGCAAGACACAATTCCCTCTTAAAACCCATCAATATTTAGAAATATGGAAAATTCCTGTATCAGCATCTAATGCTTCGACCTATCCCTGTGAATAGATTGACACTCACACACAAATGCAGACACAAAGCCCATATGAATCCTGAATAGGCACATTCATGCAATCAGCAGTTGTGTGCAATTCATGTTCAGATGTTATGTAAATACATAAGAAACTTAATTTGTGACCTTGTGTTAATGGGAAACTGGGCACGCCAAACATATTTACATAAAAGCACAAGCCTGAATGTAAGTGACCATTTAAGACTGGCT